CAAATAAAATTGCAATTTTATTAAATCCATAGACCAATAAAATGATTTTGTTTTACTTTGCTTTCCGTTTCTAAACATAAAAATTTTCTTTCTTAAAAAAGTACAAATGAAATGAAGTGGTGAAGTGAAAAAGAGAGGGGAAAGAGGGGGAGAGACAGGGGGAGAGACAGGGAGAGAGAAGCGATCATCGATGTTTCCAAGAAGAAACGAAATCGCGGGAGAAATAACGATATACCTTTTTAAAGGAAATTTAATTTCATCGATTTCTTTAGAAATCAACATTACAATTTCATATTCGCAATATATCTTATTGGAAGTATATTTCGATTAAAAACACTTTTACTATAATATATTAAGCCACATTTCTTGCGAATATAGATCAAATGTAAAGCTTTTCTTCATTGCTATTAGTGGTTATATAACACATCCTTAATCACTTTAATCAGACTAGAATTATTCTCGATTTCCTTAAACAAAAAAAAAAAAAAAATAAAAATAAAAAAAATAAGTTACATTTGATTCGCAAACATTTTTATCAAAATTTTTTAAAGACAATATGAGGATAAGTAATTATTATCATATATGATAGGATATAGATGAACGATATATAACTCTCGTAGGGGTTTTATCATAGAGGACAACTTTTTTCCATGCATTTAATCACTGGTCCAAATATCTGCAAAAAAATGATTGCTATTATTAAATCGCACTTAGTATCTATCATATTCACTTCGTTCGTTATAATCTCAGTCACCCCAAGGATTAATTTATATCTTATTTTCAATTATACTCAATCTTCAACGTAGCAATAGCAACCACTTTTTTTTTTAAATATCTCGAAAACTAAAATCAATTATTACATATACAAAAAAAGAAATTGTTTTATTGTTATCCAAGAAGAAGACGTCTCAAATCCTAGATTCATTCTGCGGATATGCATCATCCGTATAGATCTGAAAAAATACATATGGAAGGATTCTTGGTGAAAACTTCAAGTCCAAAGAATACCATGTCAAAAAGAAAAAAAAAGAAAAAAAAAAAAAAGATTGTACGTCGTAGTAGCCTTTAATTTAAAAATTCCTTCCCTGAAAGGAGAATAACACGTTGGATTATTCATTTCCGTCTAAAATTTTACAAACGTCAATGGCGTAGACGTTGTTACCGGGATGCTTTCTACGAACGTGGGCACGAACGTTGGACACGTGTTTCGTTCTGTAAGTGCAATAGGGGCAGTTGAATCGTGGCATTTGGCCACACTCGAACTTGGCGTGATAATAAAGATTGTTCTTGTGACTGAAGACGCTCGGGCATGTCGGGCATGGGAACTTTTGCTTCTCGCCGTATACGGAAACGGCCGATTTCTGAAAGTTTTCGCGCCTTCTTCCGACGCTGGACGCGTGGCTGAAATCTGCCTCTTGGAAACACACTGGAACAGAAACGACACAAGGCTCAGGTCAGACGACATCGTGCACGTTTCGATCGATCGTTAAGTTTTCTATTCGATTCGACCAGTTGTCTCGACCAATTCTCGACACGAGGACGATAAGAGGCATACCTTATACCTTATACCATATACCTTATACGTTTGGTTCGTCGTCGAGCCAGCCATTGAAAGAGGAAGACAGGGATTGGACGAGATATTGATGTGTATATACGAGACGAATAATCAAGTCATCGCTTGAAGTGATGTTTCTAAATTGTTTGTTTCGTGGAAAGAAAAAAATTGGTGGTAAAATAATTGCATTGATTTGATTATTCATTTTCTTTTTTGAACATGAATATATAACGGAACATACGGAGAATCTTTTATATACGTTGTTCTCTATGGAAGGTTCAAGAGCCAATCAATTGGTTTGAGAATGAATTATCTAACTAGTTTAAGAATTTTTTTATTGTTTAAATTTTTAGTTAACAAATCGATTAAGTATTAAAGTATTAACTATTTCATTGATTTGTTAACCGAAAATTTGAACGATAAAAAGATTCTTTTTTTTAAAATATATAAATTATTTTCAAGGAATTATTGAATCCTCCCGTATGTTCACTTCAATTTTTTCATGTAACAAATGATTTAAAATAATAATTTTACTTCAAGTGATCACATTACATGACTCATCCTGTATATATATATATATATAT